GTTGCACAAAGCACTAATTTCTTGTATTTTTTTTCAACCCCTCTAGCAAAGAATAAAGAAGGAATCCTGCGCTCAGTCAAGATTAATATCTGCACTAGGTGAGAACACTGTCCGTTCATAATAGAGAGGGGGTGGTTGACTCAATGCATGGAGAGATGGTGGGATAGACACAGTGAGTGTACAGATAATTAGAAATGCGAGTTTTTTCTGTGGGACAACAAATGGGGTCTTATAAAGCCCCAATGTCAGGAGTTGGCCGAGCTACTGTATTAAATGCAGTGTCTGAATGAAGAATTCAGATCCAAAAGTTATTTTAACTCTCATTTTTGCTAGATTCCTTGGTGAGGTTGATGCCACCATGTCCATCATCGATGTCTCCATGCTCACAGGCTTTTCACCTGACACAGATGATCTCAAGAGAGTACGTCAGTCTTCTTTTAAGGGTTAGGAGTATCATAAACCAGCTAGAGATTTTTTGGAAATGTATAAGACAACCAGCCAAGCCAGAACTGTAGCTCCAAATCCAATACTCATGGTGTGAAACTTTCTTCACCAAAATCATAGGAAGCAATAATCTCGTTGACTGTCATAAGTATCAGGCTAACATCCTCCATACAAGTTATAGTGAGAGAAACATAATTAGATTCCCATTGCTGGTGAATTGTAGCAAGATACCAGGGGTTTACTGTACTGGGGTGGTGGGACTTTCATATCTGCCTTCCTATTGACACCTCTTGCTTTTCCCTGCCCGTGTTTTAGCTTTCCCAAGGCGTCGACAGATATATCTCCAAGTTTGAAATGGACAAAGCCCCATCTGAAAGAGCGTCCCTCATCATCTATCTGGACAAGGTAATGCCTCGATGTGGGGGTAGTGATGGAAGTTATCATCTCCCTACCAGACAACTGAGAAAGTTGGGAGATGGCCCCTGTGATACAAAATAGCTAGTTTGTTAGAGAAAGACAAAGGGTCTGCAGAAGCTGCCTACTGCTCCACAATTTAAGTCTGTTGGTTAATTCTTCTTATAGATTCATAGATGTTAGGGTTGGAAGGGACCTCAATAATCATCAAGTCCGACCCCC